ATTATTTTTTATGGCTCCTGAACTCTGCTGCCTCTAAAGGTAGTTGCTGACTAGAGGCAACCACCAGTGCATGATTCCCATGGGACAGCCAGGACACTGAGGGGCCCTAGTGAGGCTTGAGATGAACCACACTGTCATAAGGAAAGGACTTCTAATTCAAAGTACGGGGAAACCAAATCTTTTGAATATTATGCCCAGTATAGAGTTTTTCAGTTCTTTCTGTGCTGTCCCCATTAAAACAAAAAAATGCAATTTTCAAAGCACCCCAAAACAAATTGAACAAATGTTAACTACCCATGACTTCTTTTTTTAGAATGCAGTCTTGTTGCCTGTGTCCCTTTGTTTACATAACATGTCCCAGAAATGTGATTTATGGAGTTCTCAGGCATGGTGAGAGGAAGGCAAATATCACAACCACGACTCAAATATTTTTAGTTTAGAAGACTAAAAATATTGTGCTCTCCATTTTAAATCTGAATGCTTTTTATGAAAAATAAAAAATCTATGTCTTATATACATATTCATTCATTTCATTCAAATTCTATTTTGCCAGGAGGGATCTGAGCCAGATAAGGTAGTTAGTCTTGAGAAGTTAGTCTTCTGCTTGATTGGCTTCCTGTCTGTGATGTGTGTTGTAAGCCTGGAGTGCTTTGTACGTGCTCCTGTTAACAGTTTACGAGGAAGTCACTTCAAGCAAAATTCCATCCCACGGAAGTGTAAAACAAGGCAACCATATTCTTATTCAAGTGAATACAAATCTGAGTAACAAAATATTTAGGATATTTTGACACAATACTTGTTAGTGCTGATCAGAGAGTTAAGTTTTTTCCTGTTTAAGAAAGAAGGACCCAATCCCATTTGATTCAAATGTTCTTTACTACCTATCTGAAGGCGAGGGCAAGGAGGGGAAAAGGGGCTCGGGGAAAGCTATAATTACATATTTCTCATCTTTAAAACTTTTAAGTAAACTAGCGGGTCAAAGAAATGGGAACCTGGGTTTTTGCCTTCTTTCTAAAGTTTTCACAGCATTTTCATATTGCCTTTTGACAGCCAAATATGGCAGGTATCTGGAAACATCCTTAGAGACACAGAATACATGAGTTTGAACTGAACAGTTCATGTTTGTAGGCAGTTCTCTAGGAGGAATATAGCACAGTGATTACCTGTACTTCACTCGGTTTTCTAAAAGTTTTTTAAACAGCTTTATTGAGATGTAATTCACATACTATACAGTTCACTCATTTAAAGTGTACATTGCAATGGTTTTTTAGTACATTCAGCAGAATCAATTTCAGATCATTATCACCCCCCAAAAAACCCCTGTGCCCAATTAGCAGTCACTCCTCCTCCCCTACTCCCAGCTCTAGGAATCCACTAATCTACTTTCTGCCTCTAGAGATTTGCCTATTCGAGACATTCATATAAATGGAATCATACAACGTTTTCAAGGTTAATCCATGTAGTAGCATGTATCAGTGCTTCATCCTTTCTGTGGACAAAACTTGGTTGGATTTTGAAAGTATTAAATGGGTTCATCCTTGTAAAGTGTTTAGCAGAGCC